TGCAGGATGGAATGCAGTAGCCCCCCCCAACAGGAGCACTGTTTCTGTTGTTAAAATACTGAGATGCTTTCATAACAGTTGTCAAATAGCTATTTCCTCAATCCCCCTAAGCAAACTTGCCCGCCCCCTGAAGCCCCTAGACCTCCCCATGATTCAGAAATGAGAGAATTATTGCCTGAGAAGGGGTTGGAGGAGGTGTTCCATGATCTGCTCCCATGTGTGACCAGTGTGCGTTCTGACAGCAGTGTAGTTGTTAAATAGTTTGCTGGCATCTCCAGCTCATGCATGGTATGTGTTGTGGTCTTCGAAAACTGGCCACCAAGTCTTTGACATTCCTTCCTTCAAAAGGTAGAGTCAATGCTCTCCTCTCATTGAACCTGAACTTGTGACTTCTTCATTCAATAGAGTGCAGTGGAAGTCAAGTCATGGGACTTCCATCATCCAGTCCACCTAGCACTCTCGGAACACACATTCTCAGACTGCCCCTGTTGGAACCCACCATGCCTGCTGCAAGAAACCCAAACCACAGGGAGAAACCACATGAGCACACTCTGGTTGGCAGTCACAGCTGAACTCAGCTTTGAGGTCATCCCAGCTCGGTAACCAGACACATGAGTGTTGAAGCGTCCACGATTCCAGCCATCTCCACTGTGCTGTGATCAAGTTCCTGACCCACAGAATCTGGGAGCACAGGAAAGTAGTTTTCGTTTTATGCTACTAAGTTTGGATTTTTATGAGGCAATAGATAATTGCTAAACTGTGACAGCCACCAGCCCATCATAATCCCTCATGAGGTGTGTCACAAGAAATTTATTATCAAGAGTAACCCACTGAGGTTTCTGAATGGTTGAACGTTACAAGGGCTTCAGAATCATTCCCATAATTCTATGACTGTCACTCCTTTGCATTCTCATGTTTTCTCAATTAGGGAATAAAGGCTGGAGTACAGCCATACACTGGAAATGACATACAATCCCACAGCCACCCCCACTGCAGTATATGGATTGTAGGTGTCAGAACCCCAGTTTGGTTGTGAGCAGCTAGGTGCCCAGCCCAGGGCATGGAATTTTCCACCTAACTTGATACCTATGTCCCCAAACTGTCTTGCAGTTTGGAGTGGTTTTAGGATTAAGCAGCTTCAAAACTGAGTTAATGTACGTAAAGAATAAAACAATTTTTGAAACAGGTTAAGCCTCATATATGTGTTTATTGCTGTTACTCTTACTATTTTAGACTTTATTTCTTCCTAGACACAAAGGAAACTTCCATTTTTCCCTTCCTTCCTGCTTAGTTCTTTGGTATGAGGATGTGAAGCCTGGGGCTGTGGTGGCCATTTTGTGACCATGAGACAACAGGCCTACCATCTGACTCCATCCTCCTCACGAAGGTAAAACTGAAGGGTAGAAAATGGGTCCTTGGTGACGTCAATAAGCCATTACACCAAACCTCCAAACGCTTTAATTCCAGAATTCTTATTAAATAAGATAACCAAATGTTTTCTGTCGTGTTAATTGGGTTTTTTGTTCACAGACAAGTGAATCCTCACAAATAGGTCTTTGCATGCCCAGCACCAAATCCAGAAAAAGTAGTCAGTTAATAAATGACAAAAATTTTTTTTGATCTACCCTGTCTGGTGGGCTCAGTGGATTCAGTGCTGACCTGTGAACCAAAGGGTCGCAGGTTTGATTCCCAGTCAAGGGCGCATACCTGAGTTGCTCACCAAGTCCCTGGGGTGGGGGGGGGTACACAGGAGAAAGGATCACACATTGATGTTTCTTTGCCTCTCTTTCTCCCTCCCTTCCCCTTTCTCTAAAAATAAATGAATAAATAAATAAAAACATTCACAAAAATTTTTTACTCATATGACATGTCTGACTTTGGGCCAATGACCCCCTTCGATATGAGTGCCGCAATGGAAATGACATTGCAAATCTTTACATGGAGAAGCAAAGGTCTAGCAAAGAAATTCTGAGCTGTATATATTTTGGGTTTTCCTGCTCCGCCTCCGTTTCTTCTGCTAAAGCCCCTCTCCCGATCCTTCATTTGGTTGGACAGAGACTCAGGCTTGCTCAGTCAGAGCAGTCCATGGAAGATCACAGTGGCAAGCCTTCCCAGCTCCTCCCTCGTGACCTGGCAGGAGCTGTTTTCCCTGCTTGGAACATGCCCTGCCACTCTCCACCTCCGCCACGTCTTTACCTGGCTCCTTTCCACTCATCCCCTAAGTCTCAGCTGATATCACCTCCTCTTCCAAACACCCTTCTGAGTGGTCCACTGGGATTTCTATGACTTTTACAAGCCCAACAACTTTCCCATTTGACTTTGCTGGAGAGTTTTGGGATCAACCAAATTGAAATTGCCAATAATTTGCCATTTCTGACCTACACAACTGGCAATTTCATATAGTTCACCAATTTTTATTTTAGCCACCCTCCTTCCCCAGACCCCCAACCCAGACACCTGAATACTGAGGGCTCAACCAACCCCTACCTGGCCAATCAAAGCATTCCATTCCCTTGGATGCTGCAACCAGTGCAAGGGTGGCTGGCCTGTGACACTGATTGGGCCAATCCAAGCCCTTCCCTGGGATTTTTTTTTTTTTTTAGACGGGAGTTTTGCCACTTTCTCACTGGGCTATGGTGCTGGAAGGATTGGGTCTGTGCCTGCAAATAAATGTCCATTTTCCCAGCACATGCAGTTGGACAGATAACATGCGCCGAGATGGTGAAATGAGTAGGAGAGTGCCTTGGTGGGGTTGAGTCTGAGGTCCAGTCTCTAAGGCCAAGTGCCTTGGAGTTTTACCCTAAATCGTCACCTTTCTACATACATGAGCCAACAAACGCCTGCTTTTTATGCCTCTTCTGTTAAGCTATGTTCTGTCACTTGCTACAAAAAGGCTCTGACTAACACATGTCCCTGAACCTGCAGGTGGGGTCGGGCAGTTCCTCTGAGCTCCCACAGTCTCCTTTTCTTCCCCCATCACAGCCAATTTGTCATCTGTCTGTCCAGGAGGTCTGGGACTGGGTCCCCAAAGGGCTAAACCAGGGACCGCGTGGGCCCCAAATATGTCCATGGATGGGAGTCATGTTCTGGGATGGCAGTTCCTGACTTTGTTGTGAAGGCAGGCGCAGCCCACTCCAAAGCTGGGGTTTCCACCAAATCAGACCATATGTGCTCATGGCTGACAACCCCTCATTGTCTTCCCATAACTCTCAGAAAAGAATCTTCACTCTTCTTTTCTTTTCTTTCTCTTTCTCCCTGCGGTGTCCACTTCTCCCTAAAATCTCGACTCTTCATCACAGTCCACGAGGTTCTGCACAATCTGCTGCCCGCTCGCCTCTCCCACCTGCTCTCCCCCCACCACCCCCTACTCCAGTCCAGACTCACCGCCTCCGACACACCAAGCACAGTCCCGTCTCACAGCCTTCGCACATGCTATTTCCATCGCCAGGGATGCCGCTCCCTGGCTCTCCCCACAGTGGATTTCTTCAGCTCCAACATCACCTGTTTTCACCCACCCCCACTAATCTACAGCAGGCCTCTCAGTCGTTCTGTCCCATCAACCTGATTTCACTCCTCCATTCATTTCATGGCGCTGATTTACCACCAGACACTCACGACATACTTACTGCTTGTTTCCTGTCTTCCCTCAAGAGGCAGGGGTTGCCTGTTCTGTCTATTTTGTCCAGTGCTGTATCCCCTGTGCAGGACTAGGTACACAGTACGTGCTCAATAAAGCTTTATCAGGTGACTCAGAGACAACCTAGTCAGACGATCAGGTGTGCAGAATTTGGAGGCAGTAAACTTTCTGGTCACGGCTCCGCCCTCCACTGGCTGTATGATCGTGGGCATGTTCCCTAACCTCTGGACTGTTTCCTCACCTGGAGAAGGTGGGTGCACACACTACGTCTCAGCTGCAGAGTACAAAGGCGATCATGCTCACTATCTGAGTGGCTTCATTTCGTGAGCGTTATGTGCCCAGTGCTGGGTGGCACGCTGTCTTTCCACCCATCAGGGAGGGTCTGTGAGCTCAGCGCCTGGCGTGTGGGAAGCCCTCAGGGCCCAGGAGTCCTGATGACTGAGGTAGATAAGTGTGGCTGGGTCACTGGGTGAGGGAGCCTCCTGGCCTGTGATTCTCTGGCGCCTCTGTCCTTGCTGCCTCCCACCCCGTTTGCCCAGATCATTCCCCTCCCTCCTGCTCTGTTTCTATTTCTGTCTTTCTCTCCTCCTCCCCAGGCCTCAGGGGGCCTCAGGCTGGCATGAAGCCTCTTCCTTCTACTCCAGGATCAGGAAGTTTTCACTGCAGGGCCCCCCAACCAGAGTTCAGGAGCCCCTCAATCAATTTTCCTTCTCCAGCCACTACCTTACCTGAAACTCCCCTCCCCACACCATCCTCTGTGCCCCCAGCAAATCCCTCCCCCACGTATGATCCCTCCTATTCCAGACAGAACAACCAATGAGCCTGCCCCTCATCCCCTCCCTCCCCAGGCTGGCTCTGGACACTTGAGCTCAGCCTGAGGTCTTCCTCAGGGGCCCTTCCCCAGCCCCACAAGCAACATAGTGTGGTGGTAAGGAACAGGCAGACACTGAGACCAAACTGCCAGCTCCACACTTTCTTGGGGATCTTCAGGCAAGTGACTTCAGTCACTTCTCCCTGGTTCAGATTTCTGTCTGTAAAATGGAACCAGAGATATCCACCTTGGACAGTTGCCCAACCCCAGAGAGATGAGCTGGGCTTAGCACAGAGCCGGAGTGCGGAATGAGCATTCACTAACTGCTCAGCAGTGGCATTCTGTGGTTAAGAGGACAGACTCAGAAGTCAGGCTGCCTGCCTTTTCAAACCCAGTTTTGCCACCTTCGGGTTCTGTGACCTTGGGCATGCTACTTAACGCTTCTGGGTGTCAATTTTCTCATCTGTGAAGTGGGATGACTGTAAATGTTCTAGGGTTGTTGTGAAATTAAATGATTTAAGTTTTTGTCACATAGTAAGCACTCACTAAATGTTAACTATTATCATTTTATTATTTCCCACCTCTAGGTCTCTCAGAGGATAGGAAATTGTCTCCAAGTCTCCCTGGTCCCAGTTAGCCATCCTTCCTTCAGTCTCAGTCGTTCTGGTATAATCCAGGTCATACACACACCCCACGGCCCCCCAGACACAAGGACACACACAGACATCAGCAGAGCGGCCTCGGACACAGAAAAAAGTTTAATTCTGCTGCGGCGGAAGGTCCTGGCTCCGGTATGGAGGAGGACTTTGTTTTGGACTTTGTTCATGTGGGGATTTATTTGGGGGAGGAGAAAGGAATGGGGAGAGTCTGGTCCATCCAGTGGGACCTGCCCGGGAGAATGTGTAGTGGGGTTAGGTAATCGGGAGAGACCTGGAGACAGGACAAAATATGAGAGGGCATAAGGAGAAGAGATGATGGAGCAGAGAAAAGAGAGACAAATAGGAAGGAACAGAGAAGACAGAGGGCGGAACAGTGACAAACGGGGAACAGAGAAAAGGGGACCCCAAGCCAGACCCGACAGAACCAGGGAGGTGAACGGGGTGGAGGTGGGGGCTTTGGAGGCCGCCGCGGGACAGAATAGGATCTAGTCCAGCCAGATACAAGAAATGGGCCCCTCGCCCCCGCCCCGGGTCCCGGGCGGGGGGAGAGGGCTCGTGTCTCAGTGCTGCAGTGTTGGTGGGACCCTGCCCCTCCCCGCGCTTCGCTGTGTAAGGCACCGGCTCCAGCGAGGTCCGCGAGTGCGCGGGGGAAGGGCAGGAGTGGGCAAAGAGTCTTTGGGGGAGGAGACCCTGGTGGCCCGCCCCCTAACTGCCCAGGACCAGGGGGCGTGGCCTCGAGCCTCAGACCGAGGCAGCAGCGCCCCCTCCGGGGAGGAGAAGGGCCTGCCTCCCATCCAGTCAGAGGTCTTGACGCTGTGCTTTCTCCCCAAGTCCTGCCCCTGCGTCCAGACAGCTGGGCGTTTGTCCACCGCGCCCAGGCGTCCCGGCGCCCGCCCGCCGCTCACACGGTACTCTCCAGCATCCACTCCGTGCTGGTAAAGGCCAGGCGTGCCCTGGCGACACCCAGCCCCAGGTCTCCGTCCTCCCCGGCCGCGCCCCCTCCAGCCACGTCCAGGTGCGGTGTGGACCGGTGGCGCTTTGTCCGCCGGGCGCGGCGCGGGTAACTGTGGCTCTGGAACAGCGCCCCATAGTCTCCGTCGAACGAATAGCGCTGCTGAGGCCTGGGCCGGGCCGGGGCTCCCCCAGGAACCAGAGCTAGAGTGGGAGGCGCCGAAGCTGGCGGCCCAAGGGCCCCAGAACGGCTCCTCCGAGGACCCACTGCGGCCCGAGACTCCTCCCCGGAGATTTCCTCCGAAGGCAGCAGACACAGCGAGGTGGCGGAGCCGCCCAGGGAGCGTCCAAGGGCCGCCTCCGGCTCTGCGGAGGTCATCTCGATCATCGTCGTGGCCTTCGCTTCGGCCGCAGCCGGCGTAGCCACCTCCCGCAGCGCCTCGTAGCGGTCTTGCGACGGCGGGGGCAGGGCCTGCGGCACACCTGCCCCGTTGGTCTGTGAGCACACGTGGCTGACCCGCGGGGGCGACCTGAGGCCCTTGACGCGGCGGCCGTCTCCATCGCCATAGACCTTGTAGCGGATCATGAGCAGAACGATGAAAACGAGGACTGAGGCGACGATGACGCCCCCGATGGCAATGATCATGGTGCCACCCAAGAAGTGGGCCCTTAGTGGGCGGCAGGGCGCCGGATCCCCAGCCGTGGTAAACTGCACACAGCCCACCACTCGCGTGGCTGGCAGCGCCGTGGCCCCGTCGTCATAGACTGCCAGCACACACAGGTCGTAGGCTCGGCCCGCTGCCAGGTCATTCACCAGGAAGGTCTGGCTGGTGGAGGGGATCATCCTGCGGGAAGTGGAGGGATCAGTGAGGGGTTAGCTCCACAATGAACGAAGCCATTTCACCTGCATGCTCCACCTGTGGTGACCCGTGGACGCCACACCACGTGTCCCTACCTGTTTCACATTCTCTACTGGGACAACAGCAGCCATTCAAGCAAGAAATTTCCAACCTCTTAGGATCGTTGCTACAGGCCACACCTTTCAGGTGTGTGTCCTCCCGTCAGACCACTCCCCCCTCCACACCTGCTGTCTTATCTCCCTCCATAGGACAATATGTCATTCACATTCCCTCATCTACATATCCTGGGCCCAGCAGGAGAGGAGTGCTACAGCTTTTATGTCTTACCCTCAAGGGACATGATCCTTTTGCAGTGTCTCACCATATTAAGGACAACAACTACCATCCAAGCTCTCTTATCTATACATTTCCACCCTTTAAGAGGCCCTGTTACTATAGGCCACTCCCACGACCAGCATGGCTCTAGTGGGGCAACAGATGCTTTCCTAGTTCCTTTTCTTTTTTTTTTAAATTTGTATGTATTGGTTTGAGAGAGAGAGAGAGAAAGAAAACCAATTTTGGTTGTTCCACTTATTTATGCATCCTTTGGTTGATTCTTGTATGAGCCCTGACTGGGGATCAAACCTGCAAACCTGGCTTGTCTGGATGGTACTCCAACTGAGCTACCCAGCCAGGGCCTCTAGTTCCTCTTTTCTACAAATTCCTGCCCTTTCAGAGAAACCATGGTCCAGGCCGCTCCCTTTATCTGCATGTCCCACCTTTGGTAAACACATCTCCTCGCGGCATCTGTCTTCTCAGATGGTTCCCAAGCCCCTCAACTACGTGTTCCTGTACCACATTCGCAGTGGCACACTGGGCGTGGTTCCCCCGCTGGGCCTCTCTGCATGTCCTCAGACTGTGTGTGCATCCCACCCTGTGCTGACACAAGTCACCAGATCACACCCCCAGGTAGGTCTCATCTATAACTGGGTCAAATGTAGCCAAGCAAGCATACCCTTTTGTTGCTCTGGGCCCCTGCCCTCAAATTAGGAGCAATGCAAAGAAATGGTTAAGCTGACAAGTCTGGGAGCCAGACTGCCTGGGTTTGAGTCTCTCCTCAGCCCCTTGCTAGCTGTGACTTTAGACAAGTCTCTTAAACGCTCTGTGCTTCACTGCCCCCAAATGGGATAGTAAGAATTAGCACATCACAGAGATGATGTGATGTATGAATGAGTTAACGTACCCAAAGCCTGGCACTTTATAATTTCATCATGATTAGTGTGCCTCCCACCCTGTGTTGGCCAGTAACCTTTGCTGTGGCTCACACTCTATGGCCAGTTGCACCCCTCCCTGTCTATAAGACCGGTCCCACCAGGCCTTACCCCTTCGGGTACAACCTTCCACTCTGTTGGCCATGCCCAGCCTTGGCTAACCCGGGACTGCCACACCCACACGGAGCTGCACCCCCAGCACTCGACCTCACAAGCTCTCCTCTCCTCCAAAGGCCTTGGTGGGGCACCAGAGGCAAGGCCCACCTCTTCATCTGCATGGGACCGTGATGCAGGAGCTCTGCCTCCTCTGAGAGGCCGTACCCCCATCTCCATCGGCCTCTTGCCTCTCAAAAGTTTGACCTTCCCTCCAGGCCACCTTGTGGTCCTGAAACCCACTTCAGCTGTCCCACCTCCTGGAGGTTCCCCACCACCAAGAGCCACCCTCCAAGCGAAAGACTTCAAGTGAGGGTCTTACCCCCTCAAAAAGGCCCATCCACTTCTCCAGCTCTCCCTTTGCCTTCCATTTAACAGACCAGCCCCCCCCCCCCGCCAGCCCTTCCCTCCCAACCTTGGTCCCTAGCCTATGTCTTCCTTTTCCTTCCATTTCCCCTCCCAGAGAGACTTGGATTCCTCTTGTTCCTTTCCCTAAAAAAACAGTTGCTAGGGGCTCCCCCCTTTTCAAGGACAGAGGCTGGCTCCTTAAGAAAGCTTAAGCCCATGTGTCTCTGATTGGCTGCAAGACCCAAGCAAGCAGCAGAGCAGGCTTCTGATTGGATGTCACCTCCGCCCATGGCAGCAGTGAGGAAATTAACCCCTGTAGCACCATAGCACAGGCATCTGCAATGGGAGACAGAGGACTGGAACTGTGGCCCTCAGGGGAAGGGAAGAGTCCCCAGGTCTGTGGGCCTGGCTAGGAACAGAGGGCCATCAACATCTGAAAATATGCAGGGTCTGGGGGCCTGCAAACCTCCCTGCAGCCCACCATGTAGTGGCCATAGGTGCAAGAGAAAAAGAAAGAAACAGAGAGGCAGAGAGTCACAAACCAAGAGTTATTTACAGAAATGTGTTAACCGTCTCCACTAATCCCTGCTTGGCAAATGGCAGGTGCTCAATAAATGTGTGTTCACGTTAAAAGGGCAGGGTTAGGAGTTAGAAGGGTCAGAGCTGGAATCCCGGCTGTGCCAACTTTCTGCGTAACCTTGGGCAAGGGACTTCCCCCACTGTGCTTCAGTGTCCCCATCCATGAAATGGGACCATCGTCACTGCACAGCAGAGCTGAAGAGATCAAATGAGCTGGCATCCTGGGTGATGCCTTACCAAGGTTTTTGTTTTGTTCATTTGTTTGCCCTAATGTTTGTAAAACTGGGCCAGTGTCTGATCTATCTCGGTGGCCCCAGGTCCAGTATGGAATCTGGCACTCACTAGACATGTGTTCGGTGTCTAGTAACCAGATTCTAAAAGGGAAGAAAATGAGGGTGACAGAGACAAGAAAAAAGAGAGGCATTTCCTCATTCAGCCAACAATGGGAAAGCGCCTACTGTGTATCAGGGCCGTGGCCGAGAAAACCCCGGGAAAGGTGAAGATGGAGGCCAAGAGGCAGGCTTTTTGGTGCAGGTCCAAGCACCCCCAAGAGCCAGGGCATTCCCAAGGGAAGTCAAATACAGGATTAAGCATTCAGCAGGTGTTCTGCTGTGTGCGTGAGGGAGACAGCTAGGGAAAAGGAGAGCCATTCTCGAAGCCAAGAACCACTTATCAAATGCCCACTGTGTCCCAGGCCCATGGCTGTGAGACATACTTAAAAAGCTACCCAGCCCTGGCTGGTGTAGCTCAGTGGATTGAGCACGGGCCTGTGAACCAGACAATCGCGGTTCGATTCCCAGTCAGGGCACATGCCGGGGTTGCAGGCCGGTTCCCTGCAGGCCAGTTCCCAGCAGGGGAAGCACAAAGGCAACCATACATTGATGTTTCTCTCCCTCTCTCCTTCCCTTCCCCTCTAAAGATAAATAAATAAATAAATAAATAAATAAAATCTTAAAAAGCTATCCAGACGAGAGCCACTGCAAGGCCAAAGCAATAAGTCAGCGTGTGCTGGCTGCCTCCTTCCTCTGGGCCGTGAGCTTCCTGAGGGCAGGGACCGGACTTTCAGTCTCCCTGTGCCCCAAGCACCCCGCTCAGGGCCCAGCACAGAGCAGGGGCTCAGGGACTAACGAGGGCAGGAGGGAGAGAGGGGACAGACAGAGACAGATGTGAAAGTACAAGAACAAGAGAGATGATGGGACAAAGTAACTTTTTAAGTCTGTCCACACCACACAAGTCTGTCCGCACCCGGACAATGGCTTCTAACCCAAGGGACAGTGAAAATAACATATTTATATACTTTGGTTTTCTGTTGTATAATGTACTCAATGTGCTAATACAGTAGCACTGGCATATAATTTATGAATATAAATGTAACTGTTAAACACTGGGGTGTGTGTATTTCATGCTCCAAAATGTTTAACTGGCAAGGTCCACAATCAAACACCCTTGGTGAGCAAGGATGTGGCCCATGAGTCCGAAGGGCATAGGGATGGTGCCGGGCATGTTCCCTGTTCAACCCCAGTGCCCAGTCTGGCTCATGTGGGTGCCTAACAAAGATTTGCAACACGCATGAAAAGCAGAAAGAGGCAGTGAGACAGGAATAGAGAGAGGGAGACAGGGTAACTCTCCATGGCCACCTATAACTACGGCTGAATGAGAAGGCTGAGGAAGTGGCCAGAAGGGAGGGAGGGTCCTCGGGAAAGGACGCGGCCCTGGGACTGCAACACCTACCTGTAGACGAGGGAGTCGTCCACCGAGCTGTTATACTGGACTTGGTACATGCGGATGCCCGGCACCGGTCTCTGCGCTGGCCAGCGGATGAGCACGGAGTTGGACGTGAGCTCCGCTGCCACCAGCCGGCGCTCAGCAGCCGATTCGTTGGCACCAGGTCGGCCGGGCGTAGCAATGTCAGAGGAGCCGGGCTCGGTGAGAGGTGGCGGGGCAGCCGGCGGGGGCGCCATCAGAGGCAGAGGCACCACGCACACCTCCACGGGCGCCGTGGCTTCCCCAGCGGCATTGGAGGCAATGCAAGTGAAGGTGCCGCTGTCCCGCAAGGTGGTGATGGTTACATCCAACGTCCCATCCCCTCGGACCCGGGTCCGGCTGGAGTTCCCCAGCAACCGCCCGTCAGGTGCCACCCAGTGCACCACCGGCTCTGGGTCACCCACGGCTCGGCACCGCAGGCTGACCGCCTGGCCCTCCACCACCAGAGCCCGGCCCCCCGCCTGCCGCGTGATCAGCGGGGGTTCGCACAGGAACTCCTCTTCGGGGATGGACCAGAAGTAGCGGTCAGTGAGGTGCTCAGGGGTGGCACACGTCTCCAGGTCGTCCTCTCTGGTCAGCCGCCGGAGCCAGAGCAGCTCGCAGTTGCAATGCAGGGGGTTGCCACCGAAACTGACCGTGAGTGGCGTGGGCGGCTTGGGCCCGGGGCCTTGGGACCTCAGGAAGAGCCCATCGGGGGGCAGTTTATGGAGGCGGTTGGAGGTCATGTCCAGGCGAACCAGTTTGTGAAGCTGAACAAAGGTACCTTCCGCGATGTGGTCGATGAGATTGTGGTCCAGAGTGAGGGTGTTGAGGTTCACCATCTGGCCTACGGCCTCCCAGGGCAGGGCCTCGAGGTTGTTGTAGGACAAATCCAGGTCCTCCACGGTGGACAAGAAGGCGTCGAAGGCCTCCGACTCCACCCGGCGGATCTGGTTGTTGCCAAGGATCAGGTGGCGGAGGTTGCCCAAGCCGCGGAGCTGGTCACCGCGTACCTCGGCCAGTCGGTTACTGTCCAGGTGCAGGGCCCGGAGAGCACGGAGGTCAGCAAAGGCCCCGGCTGCCACCTGGCCGATGGTGTTACGGGAGAGGGTGAGGTGCACCAGGCTGGTCATGTTGGCGAAGTCCCGGCGGCGGACCGCTGCGATGAAGTTGTCGGTGAGCCGCAGCTCCACCACTCGCCGGTCGATGGCTGGCGGCACAAAGAGCAAGCCGGTCTTGGCGCAGAGCATGGTCAGCGTGGGCGCCACGTTCTGGCAGATGCAGCGGCCAGGGCAGGGCTGGCCGCGAGACGCCCCCACCCAGAGTAGCAGCAGAAAGGACAGGGCAGCAGGTGGTGGCGAGAGCAGCGCTGAGAAGGGGCCTGGAGCCATGGTGCAGTGGGAAGGCGGGAGGAGCAGACGGTGCGGCCTGAAGGAGAGGGGAACGGGTGACCCGGGCCTCCAGCTTGCTTGCCAGGCCGCCCACCCTGGGAGGTTCTGCTGGGAGTCTGACCCGGGCCCCTCCTTCCTGACAACCGGGGGCTAGAGGGCAGTGGCAGGCAGCACTGACCATTGGCAGGGTGGGGGTGGGGGGGCACGCACTTGTTCACAGAGAACCGCATTTTAATGCTGCTTGGTGGGTTACCGCTGCCCCACCCCTGAGGGTCCTGTCCCCACCTCTGCCCCTCCTCTGGGGCAGGGATGCCGGCCTCTTTCCCATCAGCCTCAGGGTTGCCTTCAAAGGGCTGAACGTAATTTCAACTCCTTAACAGTTAAGGAGTACTTACATTTATTTACACAGTCCTAAAATTATTTCGGCCCCTTGAAGGCAACCTCGAGGCTGACGTGGCCCCTGGTGAACATGAGTTGGACACCCCTGCCCTAGGGGCTCCGAGACCTCTCATAATCCCCGGCCGGAGGTGGGACTTGCAGCCCCGCCAGGGCCTTCTGGGACTCACTAAACATTTTGGAAAATCACTGCTAACTAGGATTTCAAAGCCGTATGTATCCCTGGATTCACATTCCAGCTCTGACACTTACTAGCTGTGTGACCTCGGGCGAGTGTCTGAATCTCTCTGAATCTCGGTTTCTTCATCTACAAAACAGAGATAAAAAAACAAGCCTTACCTTTGTGAGGGTTAAATGAATTAACACCCATGGTGTACTACTGAGGAACGGTGCCTAGCACAAAAAAATGCGTTCGATACGTTAGTAATTATTATTACGATCATCAAGCACCCATGACATGCCAGGCATAGAAGTATGTGCTGTCATTAAAAGCAAGGGCTTTGAAATTAGACGGACTCAGGCTCAAGGCCTGCTTCTCCCACTTGCTAGCTCTGTGACCCCAAACCAATGACTTCCCCTCGTTAGGTCATACTTTCCTGTTTTGTAAAATGGGATAATTGTACCATCTTCACTGGGATGTTGCAAGAGTTCAGTGAACTCATTTATGGGGACTCCTAAGCGCGGGGCCTGGCACCCAGTAAGTATTCGACAAGTGTTAAGGATGACACCCCTATCAGAGGCAAAGGGTGTCTGGAGGTGGGAGAGACTCAGAAAACCACATCGGTCTACCTGCTCAGTCTCTGGAAGTCGTCCTCGGAGCCTGGTTCCATCCAGAGTTCTCTGGGCTCCCAAGCAGCGGGCAGACTTCTGGGCTCACATCGGTGGGCACACGCAAGGTCCCATACATGCTCACACACGCACACTCACACACTAATGCTATGCCTCTGCTCCAGGCAAAACCTTCCAGCAGGGATTCCCCCGTGGCGGCTGCAGCCCACGACATGTCAGCTCCCGTCACAACACGGGATGGGTGGGGGGTGAAGAGGAAAGGATAGGAGGGGGCCGTCCCTGAAACTGTTTTCACCCCACCCTGCACCTTGGTCTCTGCTGGCCCGCCTCCCAGGAACCTGTAGTTCAGGGCTGTGACCTGATGTGGCCCTGATCCTTCAGCCTGTGGAGGGGAGGGACCAAGAGGGTCAGGGAGAGAGGTGAAGAGACAGCGAGAGACAAAAGTGAGGGAGAGATGGACTGGCAGAAACAGAGGCAGACTGAGAGAGAGGAAAAAGGAGAAAGGATCTGAAAGAAAGGTGAAGAGACAGAGAGCAAGAGACAGAAAAAATGAGTGGAGGAGACAGAAAACGGAGACGGAGACATAAAGATGAAGAGTGGACGAGAGAGTCAGGAAGAGGGGGAAAGCGCCTTACAGAGACAGACAGAGACTGAAGGAGACCGCGACCGGGCTGGAGAGAAAAGAGGCAGGATCAGGGAGCCCCACCATCTCTGAGGCCTCCGCTGCTCTGTCTTGCACTTCCTCTGGGACACTGCATTGGACCGAAAACCCTGGCCTGGAAGGAGGAACTCCTGAGTTCCAAGGCCCTGCACTACACCTACCTGGCTGGGGGGTATCTAGGGCTCAGAACCCCGATCTATGGTACAGAAGTCCACAGCTCTGCCCCCTACAGCTGTGGGAGGACTCCAGTTGAAGGAACAGTACTAGCTATAAAAGTGCTAACGTGTATTGGGAGGCAGTGCAGCACTGCAGGATAGAGCCTGGACCCGACTGCCCAGGTTCACACCCCAGTTCCCTGCTGCATGACTCTCGTGAAGTGACTGCCCTTCCCTGTGCCTCTGTGTGTTCCTCTGTAACATGAGGACAAAAAGAGCACCTACCTCATCCGGTGGTTGTAAGGGTTAAATGAGATAATGCAGTGTAACGTGATCAGAACAGCTCCTGACAGAGTGAACAGTACGTGTGTCAGCTGCTATTATTATTAGTAGTAGTAGTAGTAACTTTTTCCCTCTTGCTCTCTCTCAGCCACCAGCAGACTAGACTACCAGGAGACCGTCCCATGTACACGCACATACACACACAAAATGCCACACTCATGCCGTTCTCCAAATGCACGGGTCATTTCATGTCACGAAGCTCTCTTGCACCCTTTACTGATATTGTGAGGAAACCCCTCTCTCCTGACCACCTTAACCCTCCTAAGGGGGGGTGCCTCCAGGCCTGAGACCCCTCCCCCGGCCACCTGCCATCCATGCCCTGGATCTATCTACCGTGAGGCCTTACCCAAACATGATGATCCTGACCTTGTCACCACTCCACCCCCAGCCCTGGGTGCACCTGGCCCCTCGAGACACTGCCATACCCTGCACTTACGAGGCAGGGCTCCAGGCCTCCAGCGGGCTCACAACAAAACCAACCACTTTGCATCTCTCTCCCCAGCCTGAGGCACCCCACTCACCTCTCTTCAGGGAGTCAGGGCCTGGGCCAGTACCTGCAAAGGAACAAAACGACCCCGTTAACATCCTTCTGGTCTCTCTCTGGAGACCTGCCTTGGAGACCATCTCCGCCAAGGAAGTCCCTGGTGTGATCACACTCTCGCCACTCCTGCTTCTGGCTCTGTGTGTACTCTCAGGTGGACTCAGAAAGTCATCTCTGGAAACCCAGGAGTCTTGACCTCAGGATTGTTCACTCTCCAAAATCCAGGAGTCCAGGATTTAGCTCTTTGTCCTCTGGGGTTTCAAAAGGCCAGTGACACCAGCACCCTCCTCCCTCAAGGCCCCAGAGTCTGAGACCCCACCCTTCTTGAATCCTTCAGACTCAGGAGCCCAAGCCTCGGTCCTGTCCATTCTCAAGACCCAAGAATTGGGCCCCACTCTTCTCCTTCAGATCTGGGATTCAGGGTTACCGGCCTCCTCCTTCCAGAGTTCATATCCCAGTCCCCCAACTTCCGTGACGTAAGTGGTACTGGGGAAGGTTCAGAGGCTGCCATGCTCACCATTGCATCGCTGTCACACCAGTACACGTGGATGTGCCAAAACTCACAGGGGCCCTCAACCCAAGTCTCTACATCTGGATTCCATGGACACATCAGTGTGATCTCTGTGCCCCCCCCCCCCGCACTCCACTGGCTCTTGGCCTGGGATGTGGCACATCTGTGTGCATGGACCCCTGGCTGGACCTCAGCATATCACAGTTCATGCCACAGGGACCCCAACTCACTGGGCCCAGAAATAAGGCCAGCCTTGGGCCAGGGACACAGGCAAGTGTGTGCATACAATCTTGCACATATATATGTTTGAATGTACATTACCCTACTCCTGAGACACCAACGCATAAATGCAGTCACAACATAGACAGACACATACCCTTAAGGCTGACACACCTGCATACAACCACACGTGTACAACATTGACTTCTTGCACATTCACACACAAAGATGCACACAAACAAAAAACTCATGTACCTGTCCTTGCAGACAACCAGCTATATGCACCTACAACAGGTATCTCTTGCATACTCACCAACACACAGGGGCACACACATATAACAGATATTCACTTGCACAATCAAAGATACACAGGTACATGCTCTTAAGTGCCCAAACACACTCACACAACTTCACACATACCCATGATGCACAGTCACAAAGCTGATATAATCCTACACCAATAAGTGCAAAATGCACACACTAGCCGCTGCACACCTCACACACATACACAGAACCACAAGCACAAAAAGATTCACCTTTGCAGAGAAACTCCGAGATGTTAACTCATAACAGACACATGCTCACACAACAGCCCTGTACGGGATTTACACACTTACAAATGCACACAAAATACTGAACCGCACTGACATGTCAACAGATTCACACTCACACACATACATGGGACACATCTCTCCCAGCCCTAAGGCACCCTTGCCCCACCTACTTCGGAGGCCAAAAAAATCCTAACATCCTTCATTCCTACCATACCCACCCTCACCACCAGAGCACTAGATAGGGCCAGGGGTCAGAGTTCAGCAAGTCGGGCCTCCGAGGGTGGAGGAAGCTGAGTCCTAGAGCACCAGTCCAAGGCAGTCCTCTCACCGGCGGCCCAAAGTTCCCCCAGCCTGGCCATCTGGATGCAGGCAACTCTGGCCCTATCTGCGGAGATCTGGCCGATGTGGGGATTGGGGTGGGGTGGGTGGGGAAGGGCCGGGTCTGCGTGCCTCCCCTCAGGCCCATCTGTCCATCCCTCAGCCTCTCATCCCTCCATCTGTCCACCTACCAACCGCCCATCCCCCCCACCCAGCCACCGGGAAGGGGAAGACATGGCCGTCTCCCCCAAGGACCGCTGAGAACCACCCCCCCACGCCCAGTTGACAGGGACCCAGGGAGCGGCAAACTCCCTTCCCCCAAACCCACACAGAGGCCTGGACCTACAAGGCTCTGAGTCCCAGCCCCCCACCCCCCGGCCCGGAACCTTACGTGGATGCACAGACACACACCCTCGGAGACATACAACCCGCAGACACACACGCAAAAATGAACACCCGAGCGGGCACACCCGGCTACACAGACCCTCAGATGGACATTCATCCAACCTGGACACAAACACCAAACACAGCTAGTGGAGCGCACACACTGGATGGGGGTGAGGGGACCCACACCTGGGCACACAACCCACGCACACACACCTGCACACAGTCCCTCCGATGGGCACGCACCAGCCCCCCAGAACACAGCCGGAGGGGCAGCCACTCGGGGGCACACACACGCGCGGCCGGTCCCAGCACCTCGGCTCGACAGCCAGCACACACCCGGATGGCCACACAAGCAGCGCCGCACACGCCGGCGCCGGGCACACACAGGGCCGCGCGAGCGCACGCCCGGCCGCCGCAGCGCCGCGGACACACACTCACAGGCTCGCGCGCTCACACCCGCGTTCACACCGGCGCCCCCTCCCGCCGCCTCCCGGGCCGCTGCGGCCGTGCTCACCCAGCCCGCGGGGGCCCCGGGCCGGGCCCCGCCGCCGCCACCTCGCTCCGCGCCATGGTGGGGGGAGGGCCGGGGGAGGGGGCGCGGTGCCGCGGGGCCGCCTCCCTCCGGAGCGGCCGCGGAGCTCCGCCCTTCGCGCCGCCCGCCGCCCGAGCCCCGCCGCCACCAACGCCGCAAGGGGGGAGGGGGCTCCGACAGGGCCCGGGGCCTCCGCAGACCCCTCTCCACTGCGGAGCCGCCGGCCCGCCCCCGACCTCTCCCCAGCCCCACCCCCAGCCCCGCCGGCTTCCCGAGAGACCCCCAGACCACGCCCCGATTGGCTGGGCACCCCGGACCTCCCAACGGAGACCTGGGATCATGTCCCAATACCCAGGGGACCTCAGACCATGCCTTCCTCACCTCCTTTAAGGATCCAGAACATGTTCTACAGGCACTCCAGGACCACAAACCGTGTCCCACTCTCCTTGGTGACCTCAGACTCTGCCCCACACCCCCTCAAGGACCCCAGACCGTATATCCCAGCATCCAAGGGGATTCAACCACCCCCTTCAGGGACACTAAATCATACCCCGACATTCAGGTGGACCGCCCAGACCACACCCATCCCCCAGGGACCCCAGACCATATGTGAAAACCCAGATCGTGCCTCACTCCCTTTGGGGATCCAGCCCGTGTCCCATAGCCGCCCAGGGCCACAAACCATATCCTGCTCCTTGGGGACCCCTAGCCATGCCCGTCTCCCTCCCAGACCTCAAACTATTCCCTGACTCCCACGAGGGATTCCAGACTATGTCCAAGTTCTAGGGGCCCCAAATACGTCTCTTGTCCCCATAGGAAACCCTAAATTCCCCTCCGGATCCCCATGAGACCCAGGCTGTTCTCTGCTCCAAGGCACTCCTTGGTTTCCAGAATCCCTGATTTGCTCCAGATTCCTTCCCATCCTCCCCACCAGACTAACCCTCCTGGAGGACCCCCGCCTCCTCCCCTTTCCTATTCTCTCTCTTGGACCCTGCAGAGCCTTCCCCCTTCCCTGTGACTTCAGTGGAGTCCAGGATTCATTGCTCCTCCCTTGTTCAGACCCCGTATCCCAACTCCTACTCAACGAGCCCTGGGCCGTCCCCCAAATCCCACTGAGTATCTCAAGCCACTCTTCACCTCTTTCTGAGACAACCACTGTGCCCCTAAACCCAGAAAGCCTTCACCTCAAAATCTGTTTTATTGCAGTCCCCTAGATCCCTGAAGGCCCAAGCCCTTGCCATTTTGGATCCCACTGTATTAAGGTCCTCCCCCAAACCCCTTCTCTAAATTCTTCCTTTCCGTGTCAGCACAGGAAGCCTGCCCTGCTCCGCAAATCAAGGGCACCTCTGCAGAGGCTTCCTCTCCTGAACTTTGGCCCCACTCACAGCCATTAGCTGCCCCCGCCCACTCGCAATCCCCACACACACATACCAGTCTTGTCTCCAGGTCTCACCCCCCACCCTGGTTCCTGGTGCTACCTGCCAGGGCGTGGAGGTCCGGGGCTGGGAAAACAGAAGTGGGAGAATTATAACAACAGCAAAGCTGTCCAGCACTACTCATGCCAGGAATGCTTCTAAGGATCCATTCGCTCTTCACAGCAGCCAGATGAGAAGGTGTCATTACTATCTCCATTCTACAGAAGAGGAAAATTGAGCCTTAGAGATGTTTAGTCAGGTGCCTAAAGCCACACACACATACACATGCACACAGAGTAAGTGGCAGAACAGGGTGGAAATAAAGGAGAAAGAGCGTGAGGGCAGGCCTGGGGTGGAAAAGGGGTGTGAGAAGAAAGAAGTGAGAGATACAGAGATACACAGAGATGAGAAACAAAGAGTCTGCACCGGGTCAGGGGCCACCTTGCTCACAGCATTTCTGGCCTCTTGAGCTCCTGTCCTCAGGCCTGACCACTCTTGTCTTTGGCCTCGGGGATGACTTTTCTATTCCTTCCACACACCAGCTCACTCCAGTCCTTGGGTATTTGCAGTTATTGCCCTTTCATGGCTGATTCCTTCTTTTCATACAAGTCTTCATTCAAATGTAATCTCTTCAGAGAAGCCTTCCTTTCCCACCTCCAGTTTACACATCTGCCCCCTACCAATGGTCCTGATGTCTGAAAATTACTTTGAAATACACACAAAATGAGATGGGTTGATGGATGGATAGATGGATATGCAGTAAAGCAAGTGCAGTGAAACATTAATGGTGGAATCCAGGTGGTGGGTATATGAGTATTCACTGTAAAATTATTCTGACTTTGCTGCATGTTTGAAATGTTTCAAACTAATGTTGGGGGAGAAAAAAAAGCAGGAGGACGCTTCTGGAGATCAAAGAGGCAACAAAAAATAGCCCCAGCAGGTCCCACCACTCCTGACGTATCACCTCATTTGATTGCTCCCCTAGCACTTATCATTCTCGATAATGACCTTGTTTGTTTACCTACTTATTGTTTACTCATTTATTTATTGCTTACTGTCTAGTCATTGAAATGTAAGCCTTCTGACGAAAGTGGCATGGGCACCAATTTTCTCCAGCGTTTAAAAGGCCATTTGACCCTGGTGAGTGCTCCGTTAGCAAGCCTTCTTGAATGAATGCCTCTTGGGAAAGGACTTGGGAGCCAGTCTACTACGGGCTCACTGAGGGATGCACATGGTCTCCTAGCCTGAAGTCACTAGAAGGGGAGGGCTATAAGTCAGTAGCTGGGCTGTGCCCCCTAAGGTCAGGGGGTGTGAGTTGACCTGGAAAAGAGGGCAACCAGTGGAAGTAGATAGTGTGATTATTTCCCAAGGGTCCTAACTTCTGCCCTCGACCTATCTCATTCTTTCACTATTTAACACTTGCTCCTCAACACTTGTTTCCTACACCACCAATCCCCTCAACCACGTCTCTAAGGCTCCGACCAAAAGCAAAAACCTCAGCTTTATCTGACCTAAGCAAAGCCCCTCAGTCCTAGGTCCCACCCCCGAAGCCTAAGCCCCACACCATAGATAGCACCGTAAAATATATAATATTCAGACTTTTTTTTTAAGATTTTATTTATAGACAGAGGGGAAAGGAGGGAGAGAGTCAGAGAAACATCAATGTGTGGTTGCCTCTAGTGCACCCCCTACTGGGGACCTGGCCCACAACCCAAGCACATGCCCTCACTGGGAATCAAACCCTCGACCTTTGTTTCGGAGGCCAGCACTCAATCCACTGAGCCACACAGCCAGGACTGTATTCAGACTTCTTTAGCTGTAAGCCTGCCACAAGCCTAAGCCCCACTTCTCAGCAAAAGCCCCAGCCCTTCTATCTTAGGCCCCACCCCATAAGCAGCCAGTTTCTCCGCCCAGACACTGGGCCCTCCTGTCAGAGCTCCATTCTCAGCTCTGCCTAAAATGCAGTGTCCACCTTTGCGACCTAAGCCCCGTTTACATTCTAGGTTAGCTCGGGGAAATGCTCAGGAAAGCCAAGGACCAGGACTCAAAAATTAGGGAGCCTGGATCTGTGGGACCCTAGAGGGGAGGTTGGTGGAAAGAGGGGAGGCAGTCCCTGGTTTGTACCGCCCCTGTAAGGAGTGGCCCCAAACCCAAAGCCACACCCCAATGTGCTGACTCTTTATTGGATAGTGTATTCTGTTCTGGCTTCTCTGATTGGTCTCTCCTTAATACTTCTAGCCAAACCTACTCTGCACCTCAGAGTCACTCTCTGATTGGTTCTTGCTTTCCCAACTTCCTGCTCCTGATTGGGCAACTCCTTGCACACGCCTCTTTCTGATTGGATTGCTCGCAGTCATAAGCCTGAATGCAAACATAAGTTCAACAACTGGGGAGGATGTAGGACCTGTGGAAGGGAGAGGAGGAAGAGGAGATGGTTCCCTCAATCCCCTGCCTAAGACAGGTACTGGCCACTGGCCACAGAATAACCTTGGGTAAAAGTTCTAAAGCTACAGAATCCTAGCTGTGGGACTTAAGGCAACCATTTTTAGTTCCTTTTTCTTCGTCTGTAGAGGATAATGTACCTTCTTCATGGGGTATTGTAAGGATTAAATCAGTTAATACCTGTAAAATACTTATAGAAGTACCTGGCACCTAGGAAGCCCTCAGTCAGAGGGTTAGCTATTATTAATTTTATCATGTAAGTGCACAACCTTGAACAAGTCTTTTTGCCTCTCTGACCTCTGCAGGCCAGAAATTGCTTGACCTCTTAATTGAATGACCTTTCCTGTTCTCAGCAGAGTGAGGTGGTTCTGGCTGGGAGGGCTAGGGAAGGGTTGGAGCTAGAAAGGGGCAGCCCAGGCCTGAGGTCAGTACCGTTGTTACCATGGCAACAGCCACCTCTCCAAAGGGAACCTGGAAAGGGGGGGGGGGGGGGGGGGTGGAGCTCCTAGGTTCCTGAATCTGAGGATTGAGAGAGGAACTGAGACCTGGAGAAACGACAGAAAGAGTGATTTATCTCTGTGAAGACCTGTATATATCAGAATTTTCAGAGCCTGGAACACTGTTGATGCTCAATAAATGTCCCTCAGAGATGAGAAACAAAGAGCCTGAGGGAATCAAATGCCCAGAGATGCCAAAAGAAAGAAGAATCTTCAGACAGGGACAGGTAGGATGCCCCTTTCCTCCTCCCTCGACCTCATACCCCTCAGGGGTCCACTAAGGATCCTGGATCCTCCTTGTCTTCCCCAGCCCTCGGACCTCAGGTCTACACAACCACTCAAACCACCCACCCCAGCGACTCCTGAGCCCCTGAAGCAATTAAGTCTGATCTTTCAACAACTTTTCTGCCTTTAAATTCTTCTTGCTTGGAGTCCGAGAAAAGTAGCAATCGGTGCAAGCTACTGCCTGCTAGTCCCTAGAGCTGGGATGGGAAGGAAGGAGGGGATGGGAAGGGAGGATGGGAAGGAAGGGAGGAGGCATTCTGCCTCCTTGACTCGCAGGGACCTAGGGATCCTTGTTCCCCTTTGGAGTGGCCCCTCCATGAGTTCAAATATTTCTCCAGTTCCTCCAGGAGACCGGGCCTCCCCCATACCCTCTAGGAAACCCCACAGGCTTCTTTTCAGAGAAGTACCCTCCTTTCCTCCTGGAATG